CCCAGAAAACTGTTGTCTGGAGTCCCTACCCCTTCAAGAAAGCAAAAGGAAAAACATCGAGGAAAGAGGAGAACAAGGAGGGAGAGGGGCGATAGCCTTGGCCTTACAGGCGCCGGTGTCAGAAACTCTAGAAACACAAATGCATTGTGTGCTAGTTTCAAAGATCTCCCCGACTGTATCAACAAAGGAGTCCCCCGATTTTCTAGATCTTGCCTGCCTGAACCTTGGCTATTCCACCATTTGCCTTCACCGCGCCTTCTGCCAATGAGCAAGATGGCTTGGGTGACTCTGACGCAAATAATCGATCTCTTTCCGCAAGACCACAGTAAACCCCAAAAACCTTATACGTAACTGGAAAATAAACAGTGGCAGAGGCCGTATTAATCGATAGGCTTGAATTTTTCCTTGAGCCTTCAGACACTGAGGCAGCCCGATCCTTCAAAATATTCTAGCACATGTTTTATTTCAGGGAAACAGAGCCTCTCCCTAAGTGCAAGAAAAGTCAAATCAACCGTGAAGCTTGTTGGGTCCAACCTACCCCTTAACCGCGGATTATTTATTACCGGAGTTGGCCTTCTCCCCCTAGGGCATGGTTGGAGGTATCTCTGAAATCCGGTGTCTTAAACCAGCAAACTGAATCAAAGCAACAAGCCCCTCTCCGCACAGAAAGACGCCAACACACATGCCCACACAGCCCAGCTCTATTCATGTATACAGTACATACTGTATATATAAACATACAGAGCATCTTATTACCAAACACACCAACTCTCTGAGGAGTAAATTTGAGCTTCATTCTTCCCCATCCCACCCCAAAGTTCCTCTCCCTGTGTCGACATCCCAAGTATGTACAGTTAAGATACCACTGAAGTGACCTTTAACACCAATTAATATGTTTTATTTTCAGACCCCTTCCTTCCCAGGCAACTATTTAACTACAGAGACAAGGAAGGGTAACAACAACTTATGACAGTCAAGGGAAAGCTTGCTGGTCTTACAAGGGGTAATTTTCAAAAGAAAAATTAGGAGCAAGTCCTAGTTCTCTAGCCCTCTAGGAATTAATATAGAACAGTTGCACTGGCGGTGTTGTATAGGAAAATGGAGCCACCTCTACCCAACTTTAGCAGAGATGAGTCCTTTGCGCCTGTAGCAGACATGAAATTAGAGCTATCTTCATCTATCATACAACGTTGATGGAGATCAATGCGTTTTAAAAAGGGAACTGATTCTAGGAGTCGTGCATGTCTACACATGTCAATAATAATACCCAGACACACATATCTGGCCCAAACGTATCTGCAAGCACATTGTGTCAAAGAAAAACTTTAATGTGTCCAGTGTCATTAGTCCTTGCTGTATATAAATCCTAAAATAATCGAATTGTACTCTCTGGCTGGTCTCCTGTAATTCATTCCCAGCTTGCTCACCGTCCAGCAACTTATATGGTTCAGGAGGCGGCCTCACCAGCCAAATCTGACATGCGGTTACAGAAACACACAAGCACAGAACCCAGGCTCTTTCCCTTTCCCCCCATTCACTTCACAATACAGTATTATATTTCAACAGTACCTTCTGCCTTTGGGATTATTCTCTCAAACAGGCTAATTTCAAACTGTTAACTTAAAAAACAAAAACTACACACAGTTAGCAGAAAGGCTTTTTCCTACACCCATGGAGATACCATAACCACATACTTAGCTTTCTAGATTTTGGAGAGATGGAGATTTTAGTGGTAGGCAGAAGGGCTTTGGCATGGTGGTACTGATTTGTTTTTTTAAAACAAAAAGCTGAACCACCGCGAGCATAGTACTGTCAGGCCAAGATTTTAGGTGAGCGTGCACTAGGTTTCATGTACCAGGTACACGAGCGCCAGAAGAGAGCCAAGCAAACTCACCCCAACTCAAACACCAGCAAAACATTTCAGCTAACTTGTTTTTATCCTGCTTGAAGGGGTGGGGGGATGTGTGAGAGTGAAATACCAGTTAAATAAAAGAAACCTACGCTAGAAGGTTCTGCAAAGTATCTCACCTCGCCTTTCCAAACTTTCCTAAAACTGCACAGGGCGAATTTTTCGAGGATCACCTATACAGCGACTTCTCCTTCTCAAAGTTAGTTTCCCAACTTTGCCTTCCTCACCCAAAACCTTAGAGACGACAGCCTTTGAACCACAAACGAAAAAGGACATCCTCTGAAAGCGACATGAGAACCGCCATCTTACAAACCCTTGAAGTCCTAGACAAGAGTTCACCGAACTTAAGTTAATAAAATTTATTTGAGAGCCCCCATCGGCGCAATGAACCCCTCAGCGGAATCGCCACTCTCCGCTGGACCCATCTCTATAAAGTGAGTGCGCTACCTGGCTGTTGAACCCCCCGCCGAACCATTTCTTTACGAGGCAATCGCCATCCCATGACCCAGGCAGCTCGAGATTTCATTAACTCTCCCCGTTCAATCAAAATCTGCATTTAAACAAAGAAAGCTGGATTCGAAGGGCTAGCAGGGGCTGAAAATATAAATATCCTCCTCTGGAGCCACGTGCCCAGAAAGGTTTTAGGACCAAGCTGGGGAAAGAAAGGAACTAAAATTTGTAAGTGTGGGTGCGTAACGAAATTGAGTACACGGGTTGCTACTGCTGCCGTCGCCGCTGTATCTCTCTGTGCGAGCAAGCGAGTGTGTGTGTGTGTGTGCGTGCGCGCGCGCGCGCTCGTGTGTGTGGCTGAAGCAGACTGTCAGCGCTTTTCCCATACGGAGAGCTCGGGGACACCTAGCCTTCCCCTCCTTGCAAGCCTCCAAAGCCCTCCAAAACCGCCGCCGAGCCCCCACCACCCTCCGGCCTCCGCTAGGAAGCATGCCCGTGGGTACCTACCGGCAAAAAGGAGCTGGTGGGGGACGATCCAAGCCGCCAAAAAAAGACAATGAAAGTTAAAAGTCGTTCAGCAGAAAATGAATGTGAGCCAAGCGGCCATCTTGAAATGAACTGCAGACGCTGTCAATTGCAATAAGCGTATTGCTGCCGCCGCCGCCGCCGCCGCCGCACTCAGCTCATTTTAGTTTCAAAAAGCACCCGGAGTCTTCTCCTCCACTGACCCCTTCTGGTTCTCTCTGTCTCCCTCTGAGTTTGCTCTCCTTTTCCCCTCCTCTTCCTTTTCTCGTCCTCCTCTTTTTTTCCCCCTCCGCGCTCGCAATCTCTCTCTCTCTCCCCCCCTCCTCCTCCCTCAATGCGTGGCTCCAGGGCTGGGATCTTAAAATCGTTCTAATCCGGATGGTTTGCCTCTCCTCCTCCACCAGCCCATTGTCTCTCCCTCTCCCCCTTCCCCCCCCTCCCCAGCCCCG